AAATTATTGGAAACCACCTTTCGCTTCTGTTACCTTGGGAGTGTGATGTCGACTGATCAGCAGCTACACAGTGAGCTGTGTAGCCGCGTGCCGAAGTCAGCGGCGGCATTCGGGAAGCTTGAGTACCGAGTGTGGAACAACCATCAGCTTACCGTTGGCACGAATCTGATGGTGTACAAATCCCTGATACTGTCCGTTCTTCTATACGGCAGCGAAATGTGGACGATGTACCGGCGGGATGTGCGATATCTCGAGCGGTTTCACCAACAGTGTCTGCGACGGATTTTGCGCATTGGTTTGTGTGACAGTTGCAGACACGGAAGTTTTGCACCGAAGTGGGATGTATGCAGTGGACTGCATACTTTTATTGAGACACCTGAAGTGGATCGGTCATGTGTGGCGTATGGATTCGACGCGGATACCGAAGCGGCTATTATATCGTCAGCTGAGTATTGGGAAGCGGCACGTGGAGAAACGAAAGTTACGATACCGGAACATGAGTAAAGTGAGCTGCTCACGTGCTAATCTTGATTGCAAATCATGGAAATCGAAGGCGGTTGATCGGCGTGTATGACGCGATCTGATCACGAAGTCAGTTGCTGAGGTGTAGGAGAAAGTCCTCGTGCATGCAGAGAAGAAGCGGCAAGTGCGGAAGCCGCAAGCAACGATGTATTGTTCGCCATCGACATCGAGCGCGTGGTGCTGTAGCACATGCGGTCGCGAGTGTCTTAGTCAGGCAGGCTTAGTGAGCCATGAGCGAGGCCACTCAGGACTATTACCGGAGCGCCGACGGGTTCTGCAGAGAAGGTAGGCGGAACCGGCGCAGCGTTTGTAGGTACGCTGCATTCGATTTACTAACCGCGTGCTTGCATGCTAAGTCAGTTTATTTCAGGTGGTGGGTTTTCAGTTTTGTCCTAATGTTTTCATTCTCATGCAAATGTCTAGTGAGCCATGAGCGAGGCCAGTCGGGACCACTAAATAATCGACGAGGGGTCCTGCAGCCAAGTATTCAGAATCGGTGCAGCGTTTGTAGGTACGCTGTATTCGATTTACTAACCGCGTGCTTGCATGCTAAGTCTCTTTATTTCAGGTGGTGGGTTTTCAATTTTGCCTAAATGCTTTTCTTTGCATATAAATGTCTACCTGTACTCCATTCCATTAACTTGAACACCTCGCTTAAGTCAATTGTATTCGATTTCCATAATATTTTTGTGTTCGTGGCATTCCGTAAAGTATATTTGCTGACTACGTGAACTTATCTAGGATTCATTTGTAAACAACTTAGTTCATATGCTCATTAACTTAAGGTTTATGTCACCGTTTCCTTATGCATTAATCGAGTTGTTCTCTTTTTCTTTTTCTCTCTCTCTCTCAAGTGATTGGCTGTTGTTTGATATCCCAGCGTGGTTGCACTCGATGTGCATGTTGACAAGGTGCCTACCTGTCTATTACCCACTACCTCGTCCATACTGGCTCCAGGAGACAGTTGGTCGTTGCTGGAGGGGACGGGGTGCACTGTCCTTGTGGCCGTGTTAGGCTCGAAGAGTGGTTCCATGCAGTCAGTGTGGAGCGCACCACGGTCCAGCCACCGCCTTGTGTGCGCTTGATTCCCAAATACAGGGTGTTTGTGTTTGCCTGTGAAGGAGTGTGGGCCGGCTCCGTTGATGAAACGTGGTTCCCATCCGCATGCCTACCGGTCTTATTCCATCGGGTTTACACTGGATATGGGGTGTGTGGTTGGAGCTGTTGGTGGTGCAGCGCAAGCCATCCATGGTCCCTCTGTAGGCGCAGGCGTCCTGTGGCTTGCCACAGTGACAGGCAAATCCGAAACCGGATGCCGCCAACCATATATATATATATATATATATATATATATATATATATATCGTGTGCATTTTTTACACGTGTGAATACGGTGTCCGGCTGGAGTACCGCATGGATGAATATCTGCTGAATATCTGCCGCCCGGGAGCAAGATGCCCTGCTGTGCAAGACAGTCATCCGGATGATGCTATTTACCGACGTCTGTGCATTGGCTGCACGGTGGGCGCGAGAAAGCGGGCACGAAAATTGGGCACATAGAAGTATGTTGGTTCGATTGCTTGAGGCGTACACGACTGCCATACGGGTCAAATCCCCCTTGATTCCTTCACAATACTCAACAGACAGTACTGCTCGGTTACTGCAGTTTTCCGAAACATTAGCGATTTGGCAGCTCGAACGCACTTGGCGTGAACAGACCGAGTTTGTGGCTGACCTTGTCTCGCCTTGGGGAGGTTGGTGACCACGTCCCGCAGACTGGAAGCCTGGCCGGCATTAAATGACCTACGATTGCTAATGTGTAGCTAATGATACTGCTCCTAGGCTGGCTCCGTACAAGTAGTCGGTTTACTCCCCTAGTTGTTTGTAAGCGGATGACGGGAATACCTACAAGACTGGTTCCAGTAAATATAAATGCATTATTGTCCTTGCTATTTTAAAAATACTGACGAAGTACGCTGCTTCCTCAGTTTCACATCTTACTACCGGCGATTTGTCTTCCGCTTCGCGACTATGGTAGCATTTCTGAATGTGTTTTTGACAGCAAACAAGTATTTAGTCAGGAATACAATTATCAAAAATCTTTTATGAATCTGAGAATCACCTAATGCGAATGTCAAATTTTTATATTTCCAGCTACACTGCCTTCGTGGGGCACCTTCATTCTAGGCACGGATTCTAGCGATACTGTTGTCCGCGCAGTGCATACCGGAAGGAACGGAACCTATCACCGAATATGTCAGGAAAAGATTTTCTCAATGATAGCGAATTTATTGCATAGTGCAGAAAGAAGTTCCAGCTTCGACGCATTTTTATTAAGCAGTTCCGCCACCATCTTTTAGTTCACAGGTTCATCGTACGAACTGACTAACAGTCATTAACTTGCTTGTAGAACTTCCGTGTTTCTGTAGAGCGAATTGCCTGCTAACAATTGGAACTTCAGCAGTATGTTTTCGAATGTTAGCACCGCCTTGGTATAAAGCTTGCAGATACAGACGCGTTATCGCGTGAAGCTGTCAGAAATCATGAACTGTGTTCGTCATGCACGATCGGATGGGTGTCCGTCTTCATCCTTGATCCCCAAGAGACCGGGTTGGATGCGGGTACAGTCAACAGACTCTGAGTTAAGCCTATTACACTGTCGCATCTTATGAGCTTAGGACAGACCCATACTTCGAGCTTGTTGACGCAAGCTGGGGGACAAAATCTTTAGTCATTCTGGCTTCATTCACGCGTATTGGATGGTACCATGTACTTACAAAACGGACCGGCTGATCTACGAAAAATATTGGTTCCTGCGGGGGCAACCCAGGAACTGATGCGATGAATTCATAAAGAACTAGGGTACGATAGACAAAAAAATGGTAGAGGCAATTCATCGTCGATTTTGGTGGTCACACTTGAGACAAGGTATTACGATCTACTATTAGTCATGTAACGATTGTGCACGAAGCGAGAACACGTCAGTTACTCGCTATGGACTGCTGCAGCCCATGATGGTCGGGTTTCCGTATGAGATGGGGGGGGACGTCGAAACCATTGGTCCCCTACCTGAAAGAAGTCTCTATGGTTTGGTGATGGCGGACTACTTTACCCAGTGCTATGAAGCGGTCTCTCTGCATTGAGTGTGGCACAAACTCACCTTACCAATTGCACTCCGACCGTAGAGCCAACTTCGAATGCGTGCTGATGAGTGAGTTGCGCCATATATTAAGCATCCGGAAGACACGGACGATCTCATTACACCCGAAAAGGAACAGAATAGTTGAGCGTGCAAATCTTGCTGAAACCGTTGCTGAATCCGTTCCGAAACCTTGGGACACATCGGGAATGGGAGGCGCTTCTGACATTGTGCTTGCTGTTTTGTTAAGCATTGCTCTGCTGGTCAAACGTCGTATCTCATGATGACGGACGCGAACTTCCTTTACCCCAGTACACTCTGCTGCTGATCTCTCCCCACGTACCGATGGTCGTGTCCGACCATATACTTCGAGTGCAGTTCAGTCTGCTGTGCGCACACCAGTTGACACAGGCGTATTTGAATAAAGCTGCAGGAAGACGAAAACTGGCAGATGTTAACACTTCGTTTGGTCTCGTCAATCTCCGTCGGGTTTGACCGAATCACATTAAGCGCATTTGCAAATTTCGCTGCGCCTTCAGAAGGCGTAGTTAGATCGCAAGGACTTAGCTGGGCCATTCAAGCTAGGAGACAGTGTCTGGACTAAGTCATTAGTAATACCAGCAGGCATGCTTATTAAAGCTCATCAAAACTGCGAGAGCCCGTATGCCTCTGAGAACATACTATATTACTTGACGCATCGAATCATAAAGCCTAGTGCACCGGTTTCATCGACTGTTGTGCACTTCAACAGGTTTAAGCCGGTCATGAGCCCCAAAGACGCTGAGAACAACATTAGTCAAGAAGATGAGTATGGGGACAGGTCTGCTAGGGTTTGTAGAACGCGCCAGTAAAGTGACGTATTAACTTCGCTAGATTTCAGACTAATGACATTACTCAATTACATGGACGAGCGACAACACAAGGTATAGACCAGGGGTATCCAAACTTTTTGTACGGAGGGCCACATTTTATGAGGTAAATATTTGTCGGGCCATATTCAGTCCGACATTAAGATAATAACGAAAATTACACATGTACGAAAAAAGTCCACATCTGAATTTATTATTTCACGATAAGGTCGCGGGCTAGATGAAAAGTTACCGTAGGTCGCAATTGGCCCGCAGGCAGGACTTTGGACACCCATGGTATAGACGAACACTGGCACATGTTATCGTTTCTCTCCTTACCTCCCTGCTCTATCTACGGCACTCTGACTTAAGCCCTCGACTCCGTTGTCGCCTGGTCAGATGACGATATCTTCTTATTAATGTCGATCTTTTAGTGCAGGGTTCTGATAACGGCATCCAACCGCCTACGCATTATTTGTTTTGTCTTCCAGATCTACGAGTCTACTACCATCTAATTTACGTATTGAACACGGAATAACTCGGAAGTCCAGACCGAATGTATAGTACATTGTTACTGAGAAAGTCTTTTCGAACAGTTGTGTTGCCAAACCGCCGGGTCTCTTGGTTGTTGCGTGCCGCGATTCGTCATTATCCGGTAGCTTATAATTTTCGTTATCTGTATTGTAGATTACATTTCTTATGTCAGTCGTCGCGACAGCGGTCGGCGCCATGTCAAGTTACCTCATCCACTGCATCGTAAAGAATCCAGACCTCTAGTGAGTTATACTTTACTTCATAACTGTTAGCCTGCTACCGCTTGATGGGAAGCGCCCACGCCACGAAGCGTGTAAAGATGTGCGTTATAACAAAGTAAGTCGCTTTAAGCATCTTGAACCTGATCAGTATATCCGGCGCAATTTAGATCCGCGTTTGCCTCTTGTTCGGATGAACCTTGATGGCACTTTAGAATGCTTCCATGACGATCCCATCAGGAAAGAGTGAAAGCCTTTATCCATCACAGATGTTCTAAATGATAATTAGTTTTGCTTGTTAGTCCATTTATTCTCTGCGGATCAACCCTTGTGAACATTACAACTGCGCCCAATATCCATACATCCCACGTTATTAAAACTGCAGTATCCTGATGCTTCATATTTTGATTTATCGGTCAGCTACCTACAATCGGCTTGCTGGCCTTGCACTAATGCGTTGTACTGATGTCTTGCTACCTTGCGGCCGCAGGTGGTTTTGCGTGGATTACGATGCCATCGGCCATGTTCAAATTCATTTGGAAGGGTGGGTTGGGATCTGGTACGCATAGATCGAAAGCGGTGCGTCTGAATAAGCAGACCACAAATTTCCCGGTATCGCAACCGTATAGCCCACTACGACTAATGTGGCAAACAGAACATACCCACTGGTGACGAGCCTGCTGATGGGCGCGTCAACTCTGCAGTCCACAATCGTCATCATTCACTCGCTCTGCACATAAGAAGGAGGTGAGAAATATCCCAACTGATGTGCCGCGATGCAGTTCAATAAGATATCACGGAGAAAAAGTGAACAGTTCAAGGCGTAAATATGAGACAAGCAATATTGCTCAAAGTATGAGGAATAGGTGAAGTAGGGCGGGGAGAGACAAGAGCAGTTCTAACACAAACGTCACTGTGGTCGGCTCTTAGTCATGTCAACAACTGTGTCCAGCTAAACGTGTTCCTCGTCTTTCGGCCCCCAACCAGGGGGACGAGAAGCTCAAACCGAGGCCAACTTCAAAGCAAGGACCTTTATTACTCTTGACCACGCCGCTGGCTGGTCTCCCTGTTCTTCCATCTACATCCTAGTCCCAAAACGACGCAGGTTACGAGAGTCGGTATACTGGCATGCGTAGCACCTGACATCACTATCAGGGCCCCATGCGTGAAATATAAATTGCCGAATATGATCCTTGATCACACAGTGTTCCCACCAGATGTGAGCCGGACTACGAAGGCACTGGTACTCGAACGCAACCAGCCACTTTGTGTTTGTCGCTCGAATAAGTCAGCTTTCGCCACCATATAGTCGGGTTGCACCAACGGTTGCATTGTAGACTACACTTCAGAGGGAGAGTGATGGCGCACAGGCATCATGAATGGTGAATTTGAGCAAAGATACCTAGAGTTATTTTTATATATGCCTCGTGACCTCATCTTCAATTGCACACAAGCTAATATAGCTGCAGAGATACTTGAATTTTTGGACGACTTCTAGTTGATCCCCGCCAAGCGTCAGTGCCGAATGTGCTCTCTGCCAATATCGCAAGAAAGCTTTGTTTGGAAGGATGCAAAACAGAGCCCGATACGGCCTACAGCCAGTACCCATTGGTCACGTGCTTCCCGGAACGTTTGTATGCCGCCGCAGATTAGGGCAATATCAGCACGCTCCACTCAAGAGGTTCATAGCGTGAAAGCATCTCCAAACGTTTCAAGACGTGTTCGGTGAACGCAATTCTCATGTCGTCAACAGCGGAGTTACAATGGAATGGTGATACCTTACAACCTTTTTTTATATCGCTGGAAATACTGAAAAGCCGTGACAACTTACCACTAGCTATTACAGTCCGAACTATGTGCCCAAAGGGACCTGATGATGTACACATACTTCTTGGGCACATTTGTCTTGATTAAACATTTCAAGGAGCACATCTATTCTCTGGATCGAATGCACTTTTGAGGTCTAAGAATGCTACCACGGCAAATCGCTACTGAAACTGTCAATGCTCCAATAGCTGGCGCATTGTAAAGATGTGATCATTGTACCAACGATTTCGACGAAATCCGATGTACCTATCGCTAATGTGGCTTCCACGAGAGCAAATAAGTCTGTGACGAACGGAGGAGGTAAGAAACTCGGGAGCGATGGAGATCACGCCGATATCTATGATCGCGGCATTTCCAACGCAAACCTATCTTCAACTTCAGGATTATAACGGAGCAGTTCCAGTCGGTCGGAACACTTTCCTGCTCTTACGGTTTTACTAGATGATCGTCAGAATGGTCCACAAGAGTTGGCCTACGAAATTCCAATAAGGCTGGAGAAAGCGCATCTAGACAATTGCAACAGCCAGATCTCACCTTCGGCTTCATCGCGAAAGGACTGATCCCAATAGACAACCCAGCGAATAGAACCATCACTGACTGGAAGCGCACCTGGAAGTTCGGAAAATTAAATAGCTTTTAAAATTTATCAATCTAACGCTTTAAGTGTCTTAACGAATTGCGTATGGGCTGTTCATTTTTGTCGCGTATAGTTTCTCTGACACCGGGTTTCCTGTATCGGACGGAATTGCTTCCGATGGTTCCCAAGGGTAGCACTTCTAAGCTACGCTACTGATCACAAGAATTTTGGCGAGCTTTTGAGCAACGGTCAGCTAGTCCGATTACATTTCGATACTGCCTCGAACATCACGACTAGCACCGAGAACTTCAGGCGATCCCTTGCAAACCATCATTCGATTCGACCTCCTAGTCCGCCACCAGCACCTGTGGCGGTCACTTGCACCCAACCAGGAAGCAGGACTGCTCCGGCTCTTTTCGTGGCACCACATTCGACAACAGCTACTACATCACAGAAGCTAAGCTCGATCTACTTGGTCTCAATGGTTCGGAAATCTCGGCTAGAGCCATCTTCCTGTTCGAGCCACCTGCAGTGCGGTATGATCTCCGATTGAGCAAACAAACGATGTTGAAGATTTGGTTCGCCGTTGCTCCTCATGTCAACAAGCAGCCAGGATGCTACGGCGCTAGCGAACAGATTTCTGACAACCAGCGGAAAAGCGTTGGTCTCGAACGTATAATGACTATACTGGTGCAATCAATGGCATATCCTACCTGGTGTTGGTTGATGCCTATTCCAAATGCTATGAGGTCGCGGTTATTAACTTGGCAAACAGCTGCTACAGTGACATGCCTCCAGCAAAGATGCAGCCACCACGAACCCCTCGATATTGGTTTCGACAATGATGTACTTCGATCTTTTGGGGATGTTTTTCGTCGGCAACGCATTCAGCACCTCTACTCACCGACCTACCATCCCCAGTTCAACGGCCAAGCTGTGCTTCGTTAACACCTACAAGAAAGCGTTCTTGAATGCTCGTGGGGAGGGGATAGTGGAAGCAAGATTTTTGGCTATGGGAGCACATCAGACTCAGCATGCCCTGGAGAAAAATCTCCTGCAGAAGCATTGATGGGCAGGAAATTGCCCATCACATATGATGTACAGGTAGCAACCAACGATTCATTGATGAGACCTAAAGTCTTCATCAGTTACAAGGGTTTCTCTGTCGTAGCTCTTGTCTTTGTTCGTGACTACCAGGTTAGTAACCCAGGCTGTATCGAAGCCACAGTAACGGCTCCTCGTGCTACATGATGTCACCGTGAGAGATGAGACGTGGGTTCGCCACCGAAACCAACTTCGACCGCGAAGTGGAACGCCCTACGAATAATACCAGTTGGCTGTGAAAAATTACACATCCTGCTGGATACCTTGGGAACCGCAACGCAACAGCCGGTAACCGTGGGAGCTGCACAATCAGCGGCAAACATCATAGGTCCTCAATGCTGGACGGAACGCACCCATTAAAATGCCGAAAAGTTAGAGATCCACCTGCAGCAAAAGCGATATGTCTAAATGTTGTGTCCTCAGGGCTCGACTTAGCAGCTTCCTAGTTGTACCCCGCGAGATCAGAAGACAACCGCCGAACGAGTAGTATATTGTCAAACACAGAACAGGTCCACGTGGGATGAAGCACACTGATACAGTTCGAATCACGGTTGTTTGCTCGTTTGATTTTATAGGTCTCAAGAACTAAGGGACGTGTGAGTGTTGTGAACCGAGAAATTGTAACATATGTTCTGTAACACGGAAAAACACTATTTGCTTGTAACTGAGACTGTTCTGATACAAAGCACACAGTTGCTTGTAGGAAATTGCGCACTTACCTTCTGAACAATTCAATTTGTTTCGTTTTCTGTGCGCATTCGACTTTGCTCTGTGTGAAATTCTGTTTTCCTTTGCATGTTACAAGATTTGGCCTGAATCAGTGGCGCCAACTCGACTTGATTCTCAGACAGCGCGATTTTCCTTGGAGCAGGCCGTTCGAGACCTAACACCTCCCCCTTGTTGAAATAGTTGAACCGGTATTGGTATATGTCTTCCTTCGGGGGTCTACTTGCATGGGCTGCACGCATCTTCTTCGCCGTGTTGGCCTTAGTTGTTTTTCATTTTCAGCTCGTTCCATGGGCTGTGTATCCTGTCTAATCGAGGTGCTTGGCTGCGAAGTGTACAACAATTCATTGAAGGCAAATCCTACGGAATTACGCGCCTCTTGTATCCTTGTAATCCGCAGTCGTAGTTGGTTCGCATGGCGAACCCATAGCTGTCTGCCAACACGAACATCGTACATTACTTTTCCGCGTCGTCCTACTACTTGACCTGGTATCCAACTGATTTGACGCCCTTGATGAGAGGCAGCAAACACTGCGTCACCAATTCTAAAGTTTCTGTGCCGTGCTCCATGTCGCTTGTTGTACTGAGTTTCCATCAGTGAATTCGTATGATGTATCGGTGGGCGTTTTGGAGTCATCAAATCTAGTGTGGTTCTCAGTCTTTGACCCATGAGGGCTTCAGCGGGTGACTTTCCATATGGTGCATTGGGATTCGGAGTAACCCGATAATTTAGCAGAAACGTTTCCAGCCTTTCATCCAGGGTCCCCTCCCCCTTCGATTTTAACAAAGCACGTTTCAGGGTATCAACGTACTTTTCTGCTTGGCCATTGGATTGGGGATGATACGGTGCAGTCCTCATATGCTGGATTCCATTTTGTGCACAAAAGTCAGCGAATTGATAGGAAGTGAACTGTGATCCATTGTCTGATACGATCGTTTGTGGCAGCCCATACTGACTGAAAACACGCTG